ATAATAATCGTAATCATAATAATAATAATCGTGTTAATAGTAATAATTGAAATTTGTGATGAAAGTTCATAATTTCTTTTGTAGTAGAACTTTTGGAATTGTAGACAGTTAGTGATAACCGCGCTAAATGCAAAAAATGGAATTCCGAGATAAATAAGAAATACATAAGAAATGGTTTTAAAAAGCTCGCGGGGCTTGACTAAAGCACAGTCTAGTGGCGACAATTTGAACTCCTAAGAATGCGAATTTCAGATAGCTCATTTTACACCGCATTGCGCTTGACACCACGCTTTTCAGCACAAAATGCAAATTTTCATATTTTGGCATTTCTCCCGGGTTTCATTTATGATCTACAATTGTTTCAAAACTCTCTTCTTGTTTTTCACTATTTTTAGGCATCGAATCGCCTTCTTTGACTTCTATTTTTGCACGTGAAGTTTCGCCGACTAGCTTTAATAATTTAATACCTTCGGGAAAAAAGGTTGAAACATTCAAAAACAATTTGCCTTAGCAGCTCCCTTAAAACTGAAAATCCTAATGTCAATAGTAGTTGTTTATTGCTTTAATGTAAATAACGATTAGCAAATAACGTTAAGTTTAGTTAGCCAACATTCTCTTGGTAGGGACAATCTTCAACATAGTTACAATCCATTTTGCACAGTGCTGTGTGCTGGTTTTATTGTGTGAGTTACAACCTTTTTGCTCCGAAGTATTCAATTGTTGTGTCTATTTTCGCAGAACAATGCAAGTATACTATCACAGAGTGTATATATGTATCATAAAAATTACTATTGGTCACAATATGCTATAATTATGATGTATAATTATTATGTTGCGCTTTGTTGAAGAAATAAATAAAATAAAAAGTCGAAAGTGAGAAATGAGTCTTAGGCGATATGGAACTTCGAGATTTATAACAGACATAAAACCTCAACTTATATCAAGTACCAAAATGTTTTCAAGTGCGATTGACTAGTACTTAAATTAATCAATTTAAGAACAATTTTCTGTGGTAGGTGCAGTGCAATATCTAAATTCGAATACTCAATAATATTTGAATTAGTAATAGTCTCTAATCACGATTTCAAAAAAGATATAAATGGAACTAAAAATAAAATATTAGGTGGTATTGCGGAACACCTGTTTTGGGAAGGCATTTAGTAGCGTTTTCATTAACAAAACCAGTGTCGAAGCTGATTATATTTTCTTCCACATAGATGAAAAGTGACGTGAAAGTGACATCTTGCCCCCAGACGGTCATTTACCAACAAATGAAAATGTCATAAGATGTTATATTTGGGCCTGACAAAGCGTATACTTAGAGATGTTTCTTGTGGAGAAGAATGCGTAGAAAGAGTTTACGTAAGACTTTAAGTAACTCAAATTACTTAGTACGCTAGACCGACATCGATTCTAATGAGCCAGATTTGGTCGAATGTGGCGTTTGTGTCACTCTCTTGTTCTCCATTGTCAAGCACGCGAGCTAACAAGCTCTCTGTATACGTTGGGTTAACTGTCTACTAACGAAGTGCCTTATATTCTGTAATTTTAATTTGCAAACGAAATTGCCATGTAATTTCAATTTATAATATCCCAATAGTTTCCAGATGCCTTTTTGGCGCAAATATTGTTGAATTAATTGTTGTATCCATGCCTAGTAAGGAGTAATTAACCAAAATATTATTCTGAATTTGAAAGTCATAAATATTTGTTAGTTACGTTGATTTATTTATAATTTGCTGAGAATAAAACTTTAAAGTGAAACTACATAATTAAGCACATAAATAATTATCTATAAAATAATGCCCTTTTCATGGAATTCACGATATTTGTTTTTTAGAGGGCGTAGAAAATACGCTAGTATGAAATAAATTATGTTATATGTTGATATAAGGTATACAAAATGTTTGGAGAACCATTTAAGATCATCTTAGTCCATTTAGTGCATAATGCATGAAACAATTTATGAATATTTTGTTTCAAAAAACACTGTTCTTCCGGTAATTCAACCATGTAAATGTGGAGTAGAAAAACAAAAAAGTATTCTCGTTGTCTGCTGAATTGTACACACTGAGCATATGTTATTTGATTAGTTATTACTCGAGTCTCTGGAGGCTAAACTGCAAGATGAAAGGGACATGAATAATTTATTTACTTCATAGCAGTGATTGCTTCAATGAAAAGGTCACATTATAAAATATATAAATTGAAGTAATGAAATCAGCTGTTCTTATAAAAAGAAAAATATATTTATTGATGAAAATTGTCAGTTCCTTGAAATAATTAATTTATATTATACACAATTATTAAAATATTCATGACAAGTGTATAATACACAGTATAAAATTAATTACACAAAGTGCCTCTTGAAGAATGTTTTATAGAAAATAATTTTAGAAAATTGTAAGGGCTTTTGGCATAGAGAAATATGAGAAAAGTTTGTGTCTGAATATTGATATTTTTGTCTTTTGACAACTGAGAAGTTTCTCCCTAGCGTTCTTTGAGTTTCGTTTTGTAGTATTACATTGAGTACATTACCTCACATCAATTACAATGCACTGTTTGTATATGTCTGCTCTTAAATGTTGTGATTAGCTTTTTTTAGAAAAGTAGCAATAAAATACTCAATATTACCTTACCTCGCTGCCTTTATGGGGGTCTATTGTTTCTCGTTTTGAACGTATCATTCATTTTCGCCTCTTAACATGAATTAAATTACCTAAGAGTTCGAAATGCAACCAAAACTAAACTAAACATCTTTCTAAAAATTCCAACTTTTTTTCAAAACATTTGTAAGCCATTTTTCTATTGTAACAAACAATACACTGAGGTTCTTGCTTAATACCATTTCCACTAGTAGAAAATGACAATTTTAGCATCACTAGAGACGGATATGTGAGGGTCGTTTTAAGAACGATTTTTTAAATGTATCTTCGGGATTTTGGCATCGCAAGAAAAGTAAATATATGTTTCTAAATTATTATCTATTCTAACAGAACTACTGAAACCCAAGAAAAGTACCGCAATAAACTCATTGACTTTATCTAAAGTATCGTAACTAATAATTAAATTCAAGGGAATACATATTAAGAGAAAAATGCAAATCTTGTAATAAGGGTATTTAAAAAAAACATTGTGGAGATCAATCTGTCAAGAGTCGCATCCTGAATTATCGAAGAAAGTTCTTGATTCAGTGAACATTCTCGGCATTATACGTACCAAAAAGTATAAGAGAGAGATCATCAAGCCCGTAGGCTACTTCGACAAAGGAAAACTATGTATCGTATTTAGTGTTCACAAAATACCACAATAACTTTCAACATAGCATCTTGAATAAAAAATATTGTAGAAGTAGTGTAATTTTATTTTATTTGTAAGTATATTGAGAAACGTATTTATATTGGCAAAAGCCGAATAGTATCACTAGCTTGTTGTGGACAAGAGATTAGTTCCAGTAAAAATGAAATTCTCGTAGAAATTAATTAGAAAAGAGTAAATACTTGTGGCTTCATTTTTTTGTTTCTTCATTCGATAGTTCACTTAGTTATCAAGGTGGATAAATAATGTGATTTTTCGAACAATTAGCTCTTGAGTATGTTTATTGTCTTTTCTGTAAACTTTTGATTTAGCCACATCCAAACCCGTGATATTTAATTCTTAGAAATCATTGAAATACGTAGAAAAAACATGAATTTGAAGTAATATAGAAATTTAACTAGTTCCACAATTCAGCAATAATTTCATTTCCATGTTCCACAAAATAAAATAATATTACAGGTTATCAGGGTAGAGAGCTAATAGGCGATTAAGTGCTCATTCTTGGCATTTCTGAGCGATAATATTGAGATTTCAAGATTGCTTCTCCCCTGCGGTATCTCATGCACCATCCCCACCCTATATCTTCCCCTTCTCCTGTCCATCTGATCTTGCCCTAGGGTCTCCCGGCCCTACATACTCCGGCCGTATATCCTCCTCTCCCCTTGCTTCCTGTCCATCCCTGAAGTGGAATTTGTAAATTGCTTAGTATTTTCCCCCTACATTCACAAGCTCACAACATTTCAAACTCGAGATTTCACTCCACAACACTGAATTCGAGCGGTTACCAGCACAACCGTCTGCCAAGGTTGACTTCAATCATGAATTTCCCCTGGAGAATCAGCGGCATCCCATACAACGACCTGTCGGACTTGGTCTCGCTCTTTGGAAAGGATTTAGCGTCTCTTTTACCTCCGTCCCGATGTGTTGTGTGCACAACCTCGGATTAGCAGTTTAGCCACGGCCATAACGGTAATGCGCGACGGAGACTCGCCGGTTCCCCGACGCCTTCCCTCCACCCCCTCACCCACCGAGTCCCACACCCACCTCACCCCACTCCACCGGCCCCCACATTCTCCGACACCCCACACTCCATTCCCACACACGCACCCATCCTCTTTCTATCTCTTCATCAACCCGACCCCTCCGTCCAGGTGATCCACGTCCCCCCAACCCCACATTTTCCTTTTCCTTCCCCCAAGTCCCCCGTCCACCCGCCACTTCAGCGTCGCTCCCCCCTCCCCCCGCGTGCATACGGTGGGTCGCCGCAGCGCTGTGGTGTGTTGCGGTGGTTTGCGCAAAACCGGTGTTGCGCAGGGGCCAGCGCAAAAAACGGCCGAGCGTAAGTAATGGGATAAGTGGCGACGGTCCCGCGGTTCTGCGTGTCGCGGGGAACCAATCAATTGCCGCGTTTCTTGTGCGCGGTTCCGCGCTCCCGCCAGCCCGCCGGCCCGCCGGCCTCGCGCCGCGCGCTTTCGGTCAGGTTTTTGTTTTGTTTATTGCGTTCCTTCGCCTCGTTTGTCGTCGCTTTATCGATGTCATAGTTCGGCCGAGCTGCTCCGCTTTGGAATTCGTGACGTCTCATTTGAACTCGTGGTTTTCTTTTTTTTCTATCTTTCGATTTAATTTTTCATTCTTTTTCTGGGGTATTTTATTAGTAATATGCGAATCAGATTGTTCCGATAACTTGCCTCACGATCTGAAAGCAATTTCGTACGGGTAACTATCAAATTACGATCTCGGACACATTGGCACAAAAATGTGTGATCTTAAATTTCTGCAAAACTCGAAACCTTAATCGATTCTCTCCTTTTTTGAATACCCAGCCTGAACATCTGTATCAGATAATGTCGACGAGATGAAACAGCATCCATCTGGGATTTCAGGTAGATGTAATTGTCACTCGGCCGTGTACTAGCAGGGCAACGGGTATGCGACCGCACAAGGTCCTGCAAACAAATAATTTCCATTACAATCTTTCAAATTTATGACGTACACATTAAACTTTGTATGTATTAACATGTACCATTGTGTATGCATTTGATTTACAAAGAAGAACATATGTAGCAAAGGTTTTTCTCCATTACGTGAAGGAAACCCGACCACAATGGAATACTGATAGAATACGGAATGACGTAGCATGTGGGCGTGGAACAATAATACCAAGGTAACCCGATCGCGTGTACTTACTTTGATCGCGTCTCGCCTCGCCTCGCCTCTCCTTCCGCCGCCGAGGGAGGACCGAGGAGCGGCCGAGCGCCAAGGCTCCGGGGCATTCTCCGCTGGCCGGTCAAGTGAAACCGGTGAGAACCTTCGCCGGCCGGGTCCCTCCGAGATTCGAACTCCAGACAGTTGGCGGTGGCCTTCAAAAGTAAATTGAATTAGAACAGTTAGTAGGTTACGTGTAAGCAGGCGGCGGCTGCTTGTTTGAAATCGGCGCGGAGGTGTCAGTCCTCTCCGATTTCACTGGCCACCGCCTGGCCGGAGCGGGGAGAGGAATTAGCGATAGGAGGCGAGGTGTGGATATGGGACGGAGTTTCAGACCCGGATCTATCAGGTACTTTCTTGTCTGAGCTTCATAATGGGAGTTTCACTTTCTCATTCTTTGCCTCTGACGCAAAACCTGAGTCAGACTAACATTCCGAAAATTGCACGCTTATATAGATTACAGGTTGCTTCAATTACCGCTATTTCCAATTTCCTGATCTGAATTATTAATAATTATTAATATTCCACTGGAGTGCTAGAAAAAACCCTAATGAATATCTATACAAATTCATTTAAATGTATAATCTATCGCCGTTTTTATTTTGTTTTGTACTGCATAATTTGCATAATATGTGCACTTAGTCTTGTTCTTAAATAACAGTTTAAATTAAAAAATTCAAATGTAATTTACCAAAAAGAAAATCAAACCCGTGTCACGATGTGTTCTCATTTAAAACAACTAAGTTAAAGAGAACATTATTTTCTACAAAAACACCACAAGTTTCGTAATGAACATTTACGATTTGAGTACCATTTTCTACCAAACTATTTCATCAGAACTGGCCCTTCGGACACGATTTATTTATTAATTGGTTTTTCTGGACGCGTCAACTACAAATGCCTTCGGTTCCATAAGTGTAGTGTATGTTTTAGCGCGTTGGGGGGGGGTGAACTTCCCCGCAGGATGGTGAGATCTGATCTTTTTCCCAACCAGGTGAGAGGGGCACTGCCCCAGCCGGTTTGAGCTCTAAGCTTCCACTGGTGTCCCGTGGTAGTGTAGTGCATGTAAGTGTCAAAGGAAGAAAGTAGTGGTGTCTGGTCAAGGAGGAGGAAAGAAGGATGGGCGTGGTTGTTTGGAAAATGCCCCAGCATTCGCCTGGACCTTCTAGCAGAGCAGCCGGCCGCTAGAATTCTCCTTCAGGCAGCGGCCGAATTTGGACCAGCTAAAAAGCTAGTCTCGAATATCCTACCACCGTTTGAACTCGAACCCTAGGACTCCCAGTCAGATGCACTGTTGTGACATCAATTGATACCTTGAGCTCCCAAGCCGATTTCAGACGCGTGTGAATCACAGAAATTATTCCATTGCTTATTTTGTGCATTTTTTATGTTTTTATTCTGTTCAATTAATCTCTAAGCTCTCATTGCACATCACCCAGTACATCACATCGTATTACGTGACCTTCGCGATCTCTCCCTGTTCTTCCATTCTCTACATGCACTACCGACCTCTTATGTCTCTTTCTATCACCTCTCCACGTCTCTCCTCGTATTATTATGTCAAGTCTGGCGACCTTCAACGCCCATCGACTTTTGATATCGCTCAGAAAATTATTTATGAAGACAGGGAGTTCCGCATAGCACAACAATAAAGAACGAATAAAGCACTTTATAGTCCATTTCGACTACAATAAAACGTTTATCGTCCGTTTTGTATACATGTGAAACACTAAGTGATAGAATGCATCTGATCTGTCTGTCACTATGTCAATTTGTCATTTCTGTAGGATAACGCGGTGACTTATAAATGTAGGGAGATAACTATAACGTTCCTGTTTAATAAGTACGCGTACTTAC